TAATTAATTTTTTGTTTATTATTAGAAAGTAAAAAAATTCAAAATGCAAAATTAATTTTTTATTCTCTAATAGCTGACGTGGCAAGTGAGGTGGACCTTGACTAACGGTCAACTCGGTTGACCGTCTAATTTGACGGTCAAACCCGCCTCCGGGCCAAATAAGAAAGTATGCTACATAGTTTAGGCCAGAATAGCAATTTCTGATACCACGGGTCATAGTAGAAAGTTTGTCTATAGTTCGGGCCAAACTAAGGTATCAACCCTTTATATTATAAGTAGAAGATTGTCTTTCATTTTCTGCATACGTCTCAAACTACTGAATACACCTATCAATTGAAGCTGACACAATTTCCGGTTTAAGTGCTTATCTCATTGAATTGTAAGGGAAAAGATTATTAGCATTATCTTTGTGAGATAGCTCCTGCAGCATTTAGAAACTGTACTGTAATGAAAAGGATGTGTGTAGAGAAACACAGCAAGAAGCTGGACTTGGTTTTGTCTTTTGTGGTGGAAGCATTTGCATCGGTATCAAAGTAAGAAAATCCCATTGCCCATATATAAATAAAGTTAGATGGAAACACCATTGAAGAGTCATCATTCGAATAGTAGAGAACAATTGGGAGGGTGAGGTGTCAATTTTTGAACTTGTTGTTCCTCCTCACTTTCCTATTTACTCTCGCTAGAAAAAATTCGCTCGCTATCCTTTTGCATATTAAAAAAATAAATATTTTAAAAATAAATATTTTTATGTTAATCCAGAAGTGAAAGTAATCATTCTTAATCATTTTTTTATAGGTTTTGTTATTTACAATAGCATATGGTCGATGAACTTGCATAATGTAGAAGGGTCGTCGAATATATTATTTATGTTTAAACTTCTTTCATGACGCTTCAATTTGTATGGCTAGTAATTGATCCTGCTGTAACTTTTGCAGAATGAAGCAGCTTCTCTGGATCATTTCAAAAAGTATTTTAAAAAAAACTGTTGAGTGTTTAGCTAAAAACTATCAGAATTACTTTATAATATAAGAGGTAAAAAAAAAGACTGAAAAAGATTTCTAACATAAAATATGAATACAAATTCTAAAAATGAAAAGGTATTTAAAATGGATCACATTAGATTTATTTCATATTAAATAATAATACTTTTCGTATTTTCTTTTTTTATTAGCATTATCTTTTTTTATAATGATATAAATGAAAGAAAATTATGGTAACGACAATTTTGTATTTTCAAATATGACCTTTTGCTTTTAAGTTACGAAAAATTTCAGTTTATTAAAAAGCGAAACTTTAGAGGTGGTTTGGCTTGGCTACAACTTTTGAAACATAAAACTTCTAAAATTTGGCCCAAACTTACTTGTACTCTTTTGACTTTTTTTTTTGTGGTTTGAGGTAATCGTGGTTCTCCTTTATGATATTTTTGGAATGATTGCAGGTTGATCGGGTCAAATTAGATTGGATACCCATGTGTTTGGGTTCAATTGTCTTTCTCAAACAAAAGGAAAAAGCGAAATGAAAAACACTAAAGCTATCGATTCAAAACTCGTCAACACCAAGTTCAACTCGCTTTGACCTGATTGGACTGAGTTTTGGACAAATTCACACATGAAACAACATACCAATTACAAAAACAGATAAAACTCGCTCTCGCCGAAAACCTGTAAAATCGGATTCAAGTCGCTTTGGTCGGGTTGAATTAGATTGTATACCCATGCTTTTGGACTCAATTGACATTCTCTACCAAAAGGAAAATATATAAAAAAAATACTAAAGCGTATAAAATTCGCTCATGACCCCAAACTCTCAACATTGCGTTCAACTCTCTTTGATCGGGTCGGCCAAGTATTAACAAATCCACAATTTACTCGACCTGTCAATTACAAAAGCAGATAAAACTCGCTCTCGATACGTAACGCGTCAACAATGGGCCAGAGTTCCATTGTCATTCTCAACAAAAAGGAAAATGAGAAATAAAAGAAAAATTAAAGCATACCAAACTCATTTTCGATCTAAACCTGGTCAACAATGTGTTCAACTCGCTTTGAGCAATTTTTTAACAAATTAACACTTGGTCTAACCTGCCAACTACAAAAGCTGATAAACCTCGCTCACAATATAATACTCGTCAAAACGTTAGATTCGGGTTCATTTGTCTTCCAAACCAAAAGAAGAAAAAAAAGAGAAATTTATAAATGCTAAAGTCTGTTTCAAGTCGCTTTGACCTGATCGAATTAGGTTGGATACCCATGGATTTGGGTTCAATTGTGAACATGCTCAACAAAAAGGAAAATGTGAAAGGAAAAAACACTAAAGTGAACAAATTTCGGTCCCGATACAAAACTCGCCAACATTGAGTAGACATGGTATGGATTTTCGGTAGCGGCATTGGGTTCAATTGTGATCATGCTCAACAAAAAGGAAAAAGAGAAAGAAAAAACACTAAAGAGGATGAAACTCGGTCCCGGTACAAAACTCGTGGTAGCAGCCTTGGGAAACGATGGTGGGGAACAACTTAGAATTCTGGCGATAATATTTAGAGATGGGCTGCAAAATGGTGGGCAAAGGTGATGATTTGTGTTCAAATTAGGATACTCATGTGTTTGAGTTCAATTGTGATCATGCTCAACAAAAAGAAAAAAAAGAAAAAAAATACTGAAGAGGATGAAACTTGGTTCAGATACAAAACTCGTGGTAGCAGCCTTGGGAAACGGTGGTGGTGAACAACTTTGGATTCCGCCGACAATATTTCGAGATGGGTTGCAAAATGATGGACAAAGGCGATTATTTATGTTCAAGATAGGATACACATGTGTTCGGGTTACTCAACAAAAAAGGAAAAAAAGAAAGAAAATAAAACTCAGTCCCGATAAAAAACTCGTGGTAGCGGCCTTGGAAAACGGTGGTGGGGAAGAACTTAGGATCCCGCTGGCAGTATTTCGAGATGGCCTGCAAAATGGTGGTCATAGGCGATGATTGGTGCAAAAGGTGATAGACGAAAACTTAGCGAATAATAACTAAACACAAAGGCGATGATAACACAAAGGCGATGATTTGTGAAAAAAGCCATAGACGAAAACCTAGCGAACAATAACAAAACACAAAGGCGATGATTTATGCAAAAAAGTCATAGACGAAAACCTAGCGAACAATAACTAAATACAAGGGTTGTAGAATGGAGAGTTTAGTAAAAGAATGACTTTGAATTTTCCCACTTGCAATTAAAGAAGTGTGAGTCACTAATAAATAGTAACCTACAACCTTGACTTTTATATATTAATTAATATATGTCTCTCCATGTGTATAGAGAGAATTAGTTTTCAACATTGGATTCAAAATCCCCATCTCAAATTAGCTCCCTTTTCGCACAGAAAAAGGAGGGGGAGGTGGGAGGAATGGTTGAGTTTGAACATGTTGAACCAATAATTGGTCATCAAACAATGAACCATGTAAATAAATTGGCCATTACACTGGGTTTTTTTATTATTAATCAAGAACCTCACTCTCACGTGCCAGTTTGTTACAACGGAACTTACTAAGATTGGAGGCCATCTGTAATCAATTTTGATGCCAATGGAGCTTCGCCCCGAATAGCCACATACCTCTGAGAATACCAACGGATCTTGCTTGGATTGAAATTGGGATCTACAACTCCCAAACCTTCAATATTACGACAGTTTTACTATTAGACTATCTTACATTTGGTCCATTAGACTGGTTCTTAGTAACACAATTGGTTACTAATTTCTAATATGAGAAGAAATGGAAGCTACGTACATGTTTTGTATATCTTTATGAGTCTAAAGTAACTTGGTGACTTCTAGATTTTTTTTGAAAAATACATAATACAATTTCTTATAACCCAATTATTATTACATCGTTCTATACCATAACATTCAGTCGTTAGAAATTGTAGATGAAATTGAGGTCACATCCAATGGACTAAAAACTAGTATCACTAATTCATATTAACCAGGATTTGTCTGCTTCTAATTATCGAACCTGGAGCTTCCTCAACGTAGATAAGTAAGTGGATGTTGTAAATACGTACACTCCCCTCGATAGCTACATCTGTATACAAGTTAATATTGCTACATCTTTAACATGGAACATTAGAATTGAATTAAACTAAACAACTTTTATTAGTCGATGTAGCCACTAATCATAAGCGGCAGTGAGAATCATCCAAGGGGAAGAATTATTGGGAAAAGGGTCGATGATGGGTAAAGAATTGGTAGGACTCTTTTTTTTGTTGAGGTTGTAGGGCTGGCTGGGAAAGGGGAGAAGCTGAGTTTCATAGAAGCTCCAAAGGAAGGAAGAGTCCATAACTTGTGGGGGCTTTCCCTACATGTAATCAACAACATCATACTCCCAAAAATTATTCCTTCTGATCATTGTCCTTTTATGCCATAGCACCACACTAGGCTCCATGGCAAAAGAATTTTAATAATGTAGAAAGGAAAAGAAAGCCAAAACAACCCAAGAAGAAGGAAATAAAAGGAAGAGGGAGAGATAGTTGAAGAAAAGAAAACTTCTTCCCCACAAGTATTTAAAACTTGCAAGCCGACAATGCTCCCCCTCCGATTACCTAACCTTATATATTCCCTCAAAGCTCCCTTCCAAATGCTACTCTCCAACCCTAATTTGTCCTCACCTTCCAAACCCTTTTTTTCCCCCTCTCCTTGAAAGTTATGTCCTTCACATTCACCAACTCATCATCATCTCCATAGGCTCACTCTCCCACATTTGAAACCTTTTCTCCTTGGACTTTGCTACCCAACTCCAAATAGTTACATCACATACCATCCAACTACATTAGATGTATTAATTTCTCGTTTTCTAAGTAATAAGTATATGGCAAAGACTAGCGTATGTATTGCATGAAGGATCAAACTACCTTCTGTTGCTATATAAACAACTCCTAACTTTGTCCATCCTTCCTTCCCTTTTACTCTAAAGAAAAGTGCCATAACTTCAATCTCCTTCCATCTCGTTCTCCAATGGGTAGGCAAATAGGTGATTCTTCCACCATGGTGAACTCCTCCATAGCTCTTCTCCAAGAAAGGTTCAAGGAACTTCAAAGAGTGAAGGAGAAAAGACAAGAGAAGGAGCTTCTCAAGCTGTTCTCCGAGTCCTCTGAAAGGAATACCACTCCTTCTACACCGTCCGGCTCGTCGTCGCCTTCCTCCTCCTCCTCCTCTAGGCCGTTGGAGCGTTATTCTTATGCCTCAAACCTCCCAACAACTACTCCTCGCGATCGGGCGCCTGCCTTTTCCAACCGTAGACCAACAGCTTCACCGCCGGCAGCTCCTCCATCACTCCTTTCTCTGGGCCTCCACTCCTCGTACGATCATCAGTCTTTGAGGAACAACCAAGCAAGCTTTTGGTCGGGTGGAACATCATCTTCATCGTCACAAAGAAGTACTGCTTTCGAGCATTCGGATGTCGATACATCTCTTCACCTTTGATCAGGCTTCCATCGATTTTACTATATATATTTATATATTGTTATTCAGAACTATCTCCTTCATCGCCTTCTCGATCTTCTTGGCGTTGGTTTCTCTTCCTCCCTTGTTATGTTTTGATTGCAACCAAGAAAAGGATGAGGTTTGCGTGCCCAATCAAGCTATAGATATACATATGTTGATAGGTTTTAATAATGGTGCCTATTATGCTGCGGTTTATCTAACCAATCACGCAATTGCTTAAACTTGTTGCAATTTCTGAGTTAAATTCAGGTTAGGTGAACAACTGAACAAGCGACGTTTATGTAAAGTAGAGATAGAGTCATGATGAACCAACCCCATTTGACAAATTAAAAGGCCTTGGATTCTACATCTCTAGAAGACCCCCACAATATAAAGAACCGATCGTTTATAATTTATTGTATATTAATATGGTTCACTGTAGAAGAAGAAGAAAGGAAGAGGTGGGAGAAATCGTTTTGGCACTACTTGGTAGTGAAGCCGAATAATAAGCCGGAATTCGAATAATCAGTTTGGAAGTAGCAAAGAGGACATATTATACATGTAGTGCCAGCTTATCTAGAGCTGGCTGGCTGGCTGACTAGCAGTGAGCAGTTGCCGAGTAAAACATGGTGTAGAGCATGATTGGGTTGCTCTAATTAAAGTCCGAATTGGCTGGTGACTGGTGAGTTTACTTTGGTTTCGTTGTCCATGAGAACAAGAAGAGCCCAAACTTTTTTTTAAAGTGTGGTTAATTAAGAATGCAATGGGCAGGCCCAAAAGAAAAATACAAACAGTGACTACATGAGCCGAAAATTAGAAAAAAACAAGGCTCAACAAAACTCGGAACTCAATAGGTTCCAAAGATCCGGACCAAAACATAATTTCCTAACCCTAACTCTAGCCGCCACTGCTCCCTTCAAGAAGAGCCCAAACTTGAAGGAAAGCAGGACTGCAAAGTGTTGTTTGCTCTTTAATAAGAAAGTTACAAAATATATAGTACACACGGAGCAGTTAATTGGTAGCACTATTATTGGTGGTGGTTCATTTGTTGCTGGTTTTTTTACTGGCGGGGTGGTGTTACTGATTGCCGGTCTTTTTATTGGTCGAGTGTTGGTCTGCTGCTGAGTGATGGCAATGGGTTAGGGCGGGGCGAGTATCTCAATACTCATGTCCCGCCGCACGCTATTATAGGTCGGTGCGGGTAATACCGGCGCGGGTACGAGGCGGGGCGGGTCGATCCATCCTTATTTGCTATTTGAAAAAATGCAAGCAAAATTTTAATATTTTCGATAAAACGAATGAGAAAAGACTTCATAAATGGATAATAGTGATAATATAATGGGTAATTGAGTCTATTTAGTTGAAAGATCAAGTCAAACTAGTTAATCTTGACCTAGAAAAGTCAAATTAGGAGATATATGAATGAATGACGTAAGAAATTAACTTAAAATGGGCCAAGAACGGGGCGAGGCGGGACAGGGCTGATCGGAAGTTGGTATCCATGCCCCGCCCCATCGCGGATCATGTCAAGTAAAACCCGATTATATATTATTACATCGTTCGTTACCATAACATTCAGTCGTCAGATATTGTAGATGAAATTGAGGTCACATCCAATGGACTAAAAACTAGTATCACTAATTCATATTTACCAGGATTTGTCTGCTTCTAATTATCGAACCTAGAGCTTCCTCAACGTAGATAAGTAAATGGATGTTGTAAATACGTACACTCCACTCGTAAGCTACATCTGTATACAAGTTAATACTGCTACATCTTTAACATGGAACATGAGAATTGAATTAAGCTAAACAACTTTTATTAGTCGATGTAGCAAAGAGGTCAGATTATACATGTAGTGCCAGCTTATCTAGAGCTGGCTGGCTGGCTAGCTGTGAGCAGTTGCCGAATAAAACATGATTGGGTTGCACTAATTAAAGTCCGAATTGGCTGGTGAGTTTCTTTGGTTTCGTTGTCCATGAGAACAAGAAGAGCCCAAACTTTTTTTTTAAGTGTGGTTAATTAAGAATGCAATGGGCAATGTAACATCCCGAATCTTTTCCCGACGAAGATATTGTCCGCTTTGGGCCTCGACCCTCACAGTTTTTGACTTGGGGTGCAATTCAAGGTGACTTCCCATAAGGTCACCCATCCTTGTTGTACTCAACACTGAGCACGTTTAACTTCAGAGTTCTCAGAAAAACTCCTCCATTACACCCAAAAACGGGTCTTGTTAGTTAAGGCCGGTTTCCTACTTATGACCCATGGATCTCTCCCGTGCTTTGTCGATGTGGGATTTGCCTAATGTGTTACAGGCAAGCCCAAAGAAAAAAATACAAACAGTGACTACATGAGCCGGAAAAAGAAAAAAAACAAGGCCCAACAAAACTCGGAACCCAATAAGGCCCAAAGATCAGGACCAAAACATAATTTCCTGACCCTAACTCTAGCAGTCACTACTCCCTTCAAGAAGAGCCCAAACTTGAAGGAAAGCAGGACTGCAAAGTGTTGAGCGAGATCAGAGCTGCATTCTCGACTGCAAGACTGGAGCCTCATACTGTGATCATCAGAAAAGGAAAGGAGTCAAGTTAAGGAAACACTATCAATGCTGGCGCAACGGACCCTTCCTTCCAACGGCTATAATCAAGACTATATATTGTCGTTCCCTTTTGCTTAGCAATTCAACTTTGTCACCCAAGAAACATTAAGCGGTAGAGGGCTGTGTGATTGAGTGAAAAGGGAGTTTTCTTCAGAGATATAGGATCTGTGAGAGTGGCTGATAAAAGTAGAGCTCGGGCTTGAGAACTCTGGCTGTGTGATTCTTTCCTTTTTTCATTGTAATCGAGTCGTGTAAAAGCAGAAAACTAATAGAGTCTCTCGACAATAGTGTTGACTGTTGTCGGGACGAGGAAGTAACCATTGTTGGGTGAACCTCGTTAAAATTGCTCTTGCCTTCTGTTGCTCTTTTCTTCTTGCCTCGTCTATCTTCTTCCTCTGCTTCTTTGTGTGTTCAGCTTCTGTCTCTGTGGAATCTTAACAGAGAGCTTCTCTGTTGGAACCTGGTTCTGGGTTCGGTGCTATTTAAGCCCATCCCTGCGACATCTCGTTTTATCGATGGGGCCCTAATTTACTTGAGCCCATATTGTCTAAGGCAGAGATCAGGGTTAAGACAGTTCCATCTATATTCGCATTCCCATTACTCTGTCTGCTCTCTTTCCCTTCTTCTGAGTTCGAATTCCCTAATTGCAAATCGACCTTCAAGTGGTATCAGAGCCTTCCTTTGAAGAGCTAGCTACTGCCAAAGGGTAACGATCCATGGGATCAAATCCTCAGTCTACTTTTGGTCCATCATCCCATCATAATCCGCCTTGGTTCACAGGCTCCAATTATAATGCCTGGAAAAAGCGCATGAAAACATTCATGTGGGGAATCGATGCCGATCTCTGGGTAATTGTTCAGGATGGACCCATTGAGATGAATCCAGAGCTTCAAAGTGAATGGACGGACGAGCAAAAGCGAAGTGCGCAACTCAACTGTCGCGCAATGCACATTTTGCAGACCGCCATTTCACCCGATGAGATCGATAAAGTCGAGCAGTGTGAAACCGCTCAAGAAATCTGGTCGATTCTCGAAGCAACCTATGAAGGTACGTCCAATATCAAAGAAACTCGTATTGACTTACTCATGCATGAATACGAGACTTTTGATATGTTGGCAAACGAAGGGATCCATGAAATGTACTCTAGGTTCACAGGATTAACTAATAAACTAAAAGGTCTCGGTAGAATCATTCCAACAAAAGATATGGTCAGGAAAATTCTTCGTTCTTTACCTAAGGAGTGGCTACCTAAACGTACAGCTATAGAAGAAGCCAGAAATCTTAATACTCTGTCTGTAGATGAGCTAGTAGGCTCTCTTCTTAGTCACGAACACGTGATTAGACAGGTAGGAAGAGAGGATGAAAAACGCAAGAAGAGTCTTGCCTTTAAGAGTCGAGTCCCTGATTATGAATCGGATATTGAAATTGATTCAGATTTTGAAAGAGGACTTGCCTTGGTCAGCAAAAAATTTCATCGGATGATGAAACACAAAAATGACCAAAGGCAACGTGCAGCTGAGAATAGAGGTCGATATGAGTCGCAAAATCGTTTTCAAGAGTCAAATAACCGTTTTTCAGGATCAACTAGTCGTTATTTTGACTTGAACAATCGCTTTCCAGAGTCATACGTTAGACAGAATGAGTTTGCCCATAGAAATGGTGAGAATGGTAGACATTCAGGGAACTCTGGGCGAGTTAAAAATGCTACTTTTGAAAGATTTGTGTCACAGGGAAGGGAAGCACAGTCAGGAGGAGGAGATCTTGGTGATCGTGAGCCTCAAGGATGCTACAAATGCGGGAAAATAGGACATGTTCGTGCCAACTGCCCGTTAACAATAAAAGCAAAAGGAAAGGCTATGGCAGCATCCTGGAGCGATTACGAGTCTGAAGATGATGTAGAAGGACAAATTGAAGAAGCTTACATGGCCAAGGAAACCTGTATAAATCAGGCCAGTGAAAACAGAGATGATTCAGTTCAAATCAACCAGAAGGATAGGCATGAAAGCAAGTGGTACCTAGATAGCGGATGTTCGCATCACATGACAGGTAATGAATCTCTTTTCTCTTCTCTTAGCTATAAGTTAGGAGGAGAAGTTGTATTTGGAGACAACAGTGCAGGCAGAATTGTGGGACATGGTACAATTGGCATGTCTCCTATGCCAACTGTTAAAAATGTTATGCTTGTTGATGGTCTCAAACACAACTTACTTTCTATTAGTCAGTTGTGTAGTAGTGGTAATAAGGTAACTTTTGAAACCTCACACTGTCTGGTTGAAATAACTCGTGACAATAAGATGATATTCATAGGAAATAGAGTGGGAAACATGTATGTTATTGACCTTCTTGACTTAAACGCTTTCAATGAAAAGTGTTTAGTTTCCCAAACATGTCATCAAGAGAC